CATCTCGGGTTGATTACTCGTAGGGAAGGCAACGGATTTTTTTCGTAAATTTACCTGGCGTAATTTGCTATTTGGTGCAGTACTTGTCACATTCCTCTGGGTATGTGCCCCGGTGGTTCTGTTCTCCATGATTGATTGGGCGAGATCATGAACGAGATCATGCATAATCAAATTGGTTTTAATATTTGTACCTGTAACGATTTGCAAAAGGGATCTCAAGACTAGCTCATTGCATATTTCGTTGCCAACATCCTCCATTTCCAACACGCCCTTTGATGAAATATATCCATGCGCCATCCACATAAAGATCAATTCATCTTTCCGAATAAAAGTATCCTTGGGAAAGACTGCACAATAAGCAAAACACTGTCTCAACTCTAGAGGAAGATGATGATAACTCAACCTCAATGCTGGTAGTATAGAAGTTTCTTCTTGAGGTAATTCCCATATTTCGCTTTCTTTTACATAATTCCACTCATTTTCTGTCCTCTTAAACCGCAGCAGACCTCCAAGCGCCTTAGCAGCCAGAGGAACACCAGCACACTTCTTCACAATTTGCTTCCCGATGGCTTCGAGATTGGAAAATTCGTCCTTGTCTTGTCCGAGTGCACGTTCCCGTAGAAGAGTCCAACAATGCTCTTCTGACAATCCTGTCAAGTAATGTGGTGGAAGTGTTCCCATTGTATCAACAACCTTTTTGAGGCGTGTGGTGATGATAATTGAACTCCCATTCGAGCCACATGCAAGAGCATTTCTTAATTCAGACCACTTGTGTTGATCCTCGTTCCAAACATCATCCAATACAAGCAAATATCTTTTCTGGTTCAGCAATTCCCATAGGCAGAGCTGTATACTATCCAAGTGCATTAAGTCTGAAGAATTTGCAGTACCTGATTCAATCATGGCTTTCATTACAGTCTTGAGATCAAAATTGCCAGAGACGCAAACCCAAATTCTTTTGTCAAAATGCTCGACGACCCGTTGATCTTTGTAGACTAATTGAGCAAGGGTTGTCTTGCCAAGGCCTCCGACACCAATTATGGGCAGGATGGTAATTCCTCGATTGCCGTTGACCTGGTTGACCAGGATGCCAACAATCTTCTCTGTATCTTCCTCTCTACCATATACAAGATGAGACTCGTTCAAACTGGAACCAGTCTCGCGCGTGGCATAAAACTCGATGGGCTTATGTACAGCCATCTCACGCAAATGGAACTTATCACGCTCTGCAGCAACCGCATCCAATTGCTGCGTGACTCGCTTCATCCTTCTTCCGATTTTGCGTCGAAACAGAATTTTCTTCAAGATATAGCGTCTTGATTTGCTGCTTCTGTGCTCCAATTTCGAGACTTCAGTTGCACACTCATCCAATATGTCATCAATATCATAGGCAAGATCATTGAGTTTGACCAGCCAATTATGTATGGCCTTGCTTTGAAGTTGCTTCATTTCTGCGTCTTCGAGCACAGATTGAATGGTGGTGAGTGTGCTGGAGAGATTATTCATCTCTTCATCCACACCCATTATCAATCCAATCTCACCTTGGATCAATGAGCTCAGATTTCCAACAAGTAAATTAAGAAATGCCTCTGCCATATTTGAACTATGAGGATTTGTTTTTGTTAATTGTTCGGAATATGAGAGAAGTTTTTTTACATATCAAAGCAAACGCATCTTTTCAACTTTGTTGCGTGTCTCTAAAGTCAAACAAGAACTTGTCAATGTTTAATAATCAGTTGAGAGTTATTGTCTTAGAAATAAGTGGACTACTTTATAATTTTTGTGAAGTTGATTTGATTCTGGTTGGTTGAAGTTTTTTAAAAGTGGCTTGTACACAAACTGAATACTTTATTTGAATAATAAAATGATGGGCAAATTGCACATCACCCCCTAAAAATTTAAAATTTTTGCACTTTACCCCCTCAAAATTTGAAAAAGTGAATGTCCCCCTTTCAAAATGTTATTCTTGTTGCACATTGCCCCCATATCAAAATTTCGATGGATTATTCATCGTAATTTAGTATTTTTGTTGCATGTAGCTCCTTTATATGTTTTATTGTTGCACGTTACCCCTTAAAAACATTATTTTTTCGCACATTACCCCTTTAAAATGTTATTTTTGTTGTACAATGTCCACCAAAAATGGGCTTATGGGGCAAAGTGCAACCAAAATAATATTTTGAGGGGATTATCTAGTTTTTGAATTTTTAGTAAGGAAAGTGCTAAAATAAGAAATTTGCAGGGGTGAAGTTCATTTTGTCCTAAAATGATTTATTTAAGGAGTTAAATGCAAACACCTCATGTGTACTTTCTAAAGGCCAAAAAAACTCCTCGGAAAAATTAAGTGGCCAAAAACATCCTGTAATCAGTAGTCAAAGTTATACACCCCTACCTCTTGTTCGTGCCATTCACGTGCTATCTATACGACTGCTTGTGGGACTTTTTGTGTAAAAAGACATAAATACCCCTCTAAATCTCTCTCAGTTTTTCTAGTTTCATATTAAACAAAATAAAAAAAAATATCTACTAAATATAAAAATATTAATTAAAAAAGAAACAAAAAATTGGAATTTTTCTTCCCGTCAAACTCACGGGACCCCCAACTTCATCTTCTTCTCCCATCTTCTTCTCCGACATTGCCATCTTCTTCTCGCCACCGCCGCTGTGAATTCAGATCTTCTCCGAAGTCGCCGTCAATTCAAGGTACGGCGAGCTCCACTTCGAGCACAACTTGAATGGCGGTGAGGGTGCTGGAGAGCTTCTTCATCTCCTCATCCACGCCCGTAATCAATCCAAACTCCACCTTGATCAACGAGCTCAATTTTTCAAGAAAAAACTGAAGATAGATCCCTCTGCCATATATATATATAGGGGATAATTAGTGAAAAACCCCTAACTCATTTACTTATATTAGGGTGGATATAACCTATTTTTCATTATTAGTGAGACCCCCACTTTATATTAAATAATTTATTTTTTAATTAATATTGTATTTAACATGAGTAATATACCTAATTTATTCTTCTATGTTATATTTAAAATAACCAAACTTATTTCACGTTCTCTCTGTTTCTCTTATTCCCCTCTCCCTTTTCTCTCTATAAGCCGCCTCCAACCTTCTCCATCTCTGCGCTGCCGCCACCTCCAACCCTCTTCCGTCTCTGTGCCGTCGTCTACTCTCTCCCATCGACGTTCCTCCCTCCACCGCCGCGAAAAGAAGGCGGTCTCCACCCCTGGAATTCTCTCGTCAAGGACGGCGTTAGGGTTTTCGGTAGGGAGAATGACGAGACTACGCAGTGGCGCTAGGGTTGATATTGCGTCTGAAATTTCAATAGAGACCACCGCCAACATTATTTGATTGTTGTTGTTCTTCTTCTTCTCTGATTTTTTTTTGGAACGTGGGACCAAATGCAAAATCGGTGAAAACTTGAGGGGTGAAAACTATAATTTATCGATTTTTGAACTAGACACAAATATCCTTAATCATAAATTTTAAAAATTACAGATTCCCCCATTTTTTTGTTCATAAGACCGAAATGAAGTTTATAAAAATTTCACTTCAGCCCCTCACATTTGAAGAGAAGCCCTCTTCTTCACCACACCCCAAAACACAATATCCTCCACCACGTCCTCTGTATCGCCACCGCCACTATACTCATCTCTTTATCTCTTCATCCACACCAACAATCAATCCAATCGCACCTTGGACTATTGCTAATTGTTTGGAATATGAGATGACGTGGTAATGAATGTTGGTATATCAAAATTCAAAGTAAATGCGGAGAAGAGTTTGCCACCAAATTTCTGTGGACATTTCTTATCAGCTTCTACTAATAATGGGTGAATTACAATCACCTCCCTGAGGTAAAGTGTAATTATAAAAAAAAACCCTTTTGTTTGAGAAATTACATTCAGCTCCCTGCAGTTTCTAAATTTCTTACATCCACCCCAAACAAAAGGATGTCAATGTAAGAAATCTACAAATGTCAGGGGATGGATGTAATTGAGGAACAATGAGGGTTTTTTTTAGTAAATATACCTTACCTAAGGGGGTGTTTTTGTAATTTAACTACTAATAATTGTGTCGGCAGCACACATAATTATAATTGGCTAAGGTCGGTTTTCTGTTTGACAGTATTTGTGTATTTTTTTTTCTAATTTTTTTATGTAGAATGACATAATTGCCCCTGATGATTGTATTACCCCCACCAATTTGGTCCCCCGAACTTTAGCGCGGTCTAAAAACATTTGGACGGTGCCCTCCAAACTCCATTATTTGAAGCACCGATCATGAAATAGAACAGTTTTTTTTTTTGGCATAATCCTCGCCTGAATTGTAAGGCCGGTTCCATGCGTTTCTTGTTGTGATTTTGATCGGAAAATGGAATAATAAATAAATAAATTGAATCAAGGAATCGAAATTTCTGCTACGGAAGAAGATTCTTTGGCTATTTAAATTTGTGATGCTGGTTCGAGAAGTGGGTTTACCGATCCTCCTTGTACAAGTTTTTTTTTTTCATTGAAAAAAAAAAAAACTCAAGATTAGGTTTTTATTTGATTGTTTATGTCCTGCGAGATAAAGAATATTGCCAAGTCTCTGAGTGATATTTGTGAATTATTAATTCTCTTTATATTGAATCGTTGTTGGGAATTCATTCAGAAAAAAAAAAAAAAAAATTAGTAATTATTAAGAATTTGGGTAATTAAGTTAGATTTTGGGGGTTACTGCTTTGTGGGTGGGTGTTTTGAAGAAATAATTTGTATAAATCAAGAAATAATTTATTGCTTTTTCTTGTACAGGTATTTAAATCTCAACTGGATGTATTTGCCTAATCTGAAATCTGTCGTGATATTTACCTCTACCTGCGAATTTTGATTTTATTTTTGTCTTTGCAATATAGTCATCTGTAGATTAACTTCTGTTGTGTAAGAGAATCTCTGTATAAGCTGGTGTGTTAGAACAGAAGATGAAGTAAAAAAGAAAGAGAGAGAGAGAGAGATGGGGTTTTCAAACCATATATTATCATTTGTTTATGACATGTTACAGGCATAAACTTCACTTGCGGAATAAAACACATGTTTTCAAACAAATTAAATCAAAATACCAAATTAACATTAAGTTCACTTTGCATTGATACATCATCACAGCTCGGGCAAAACGAAAAGAATGGCACAAATATGTATTAGTTGAAGATGTTTTCTTGTAATCATCAGGCATGCAGCGAATCGAATCGAATATGGCGTGCCTGTTTGTTAAAAGACAGAGACAAAAAAGGATGTGTCAAAGCTAACCACTTATCAGAGAACAAAAAGATAGTTGAAGAAATACTAAATTTATAAACATGATAAAAGCAAAAAGAGATTTACTGCCAATTAGGAAAATCCATTAACCAATTTGCAGGTGGGGAATATGTGATATCTTGTGCCAGTCCTCTCCCTTTTCTCTCTCACATCTCCTTTCCAGTTCCGGGCATGCAAGCACTTCCAGATATTGGAGCTTTGTCATTCCCTGGATACTAGCTGGAAGTGATGCTACCTTTCGGCACTCATAAATATTGAGAGATTGAAGAGATGTCATATCTCCCAACCACTCCGGCAGCGAACTCAGCTCTGGAAGGCTGGATAGGATTAGAGATTGGAGTGAGGATGAAAGGTGGCTTAATGCTTTAGGAACACAAACCATCTTTGGAAGATAAATTAGGGATACTCTTTTCAGGCTGTGGAGGTGTTTAATCCCCTCCTCCGGCAGCTCTACTAGTTCTCGGCACCTCCATATTACTAGTTCCTCCAGAGAAGTGAGGTGTCGCAACCACCCTTCAGGCAAACACCTCTGTGTATCACATTCGTCTATCGTTAAATGCGTAAGAGATATCAAGGCTCGCATCTCTTGTTCTGGAAGATCACTTATTTTTTCGCTTTTTTAATCGTCAACTTCTTGAGATTAGTCTCAATTGTAATGCATGTCAATTTCTCCTTAAAGTCCACGTAAAGATCAGTAGGAGCGTTCCGATCCACCTTAGACAATGAAGCCATAATTAATGAATTGCAATCTCGAATGTTTAGCTCTTTAAGATTTGGGAATGCTTTAGGTGCTGATCCCATCATCACTTGCTCTTTCAACAATCCTTTCATTTTGGGGAGAGTTGTTAAATACAATTTTTCCAGAGATTGGAACTGTTGTACGCTCGTTAATCGATTCCCACTTTCATCTTCAATAATGTACTCCACCCGTGCCAGATTCGTTAACCTCAAGAACTTAAGATGAGGTAGCTCTCCCAGTTGTGAAAGATGCAAACAGTTGTCGCAACCTTGTATATAAATTTTAACTAGTTTCGCCAGAGTTGAATTTGACATCCAAACTGGAAAATGCCTACCCCCAAATCCTTTTATATCTAAAGTTTCGAGATGTGGGTGAGGTTCAAGTGCTTCCAACACCTTTTCATCTCTCTCTATATCTTCTTCCCCTGATGATTTTGATGCAGTATTCTCATGTTCCCACTCTAAATACAAATGACGAAGATTTTCTTTTTCAGCAAGATTTGTTTTCTTTGCATCCATAGGGTTTTCCACTCTCTCCAGATGACAAATAGTAAGATTGCCACCCAGCTTCAAGCATTGCAGTTCTTCAAGTCGATTACCTCTATTACGATCCACTATGAACAAACTCAATGTTCTAAGGCTAGTAAGTTCCCCAATTTTAGATGGCATCTCCCTTAGTGATCTACAATATTGTAAAAGTAGATGACGGAGATTAATCAAGTCCCTTATCTTCTTTGGTAATGCCTCAAGCTCTCGACAGTAGTCCAAATTCAAGACTTGCAAATTCCAGAGACTGCATATTGAGTCTGGTAGGGTAAGAATACATGATCCAGACAAATTCAATTGTCGCAAATGTTTCAAATTGCCTACTACACAAGGCAAACTTTCTATCCTTGTCCAACGTGCATCTAATATTCTCAAACGCAAAAAATTCTTTAAGACGAGAGGCATGTCCATCTCTGGCTGATAACTCGTAGGAAAGAGAATAAACTTTTCTTGCAAATTCACCTGGCGGATTTTGCTGTTAGACGATGCACTTCTGAAGTTTGTCCTTTGGACTTGTGTTCCAGGAACTTTGTTCTCCATGATCGATTGGGCGAGATCATGAACAAGATCGTGCATAATGAGAGTTGGTTTATATGTATCCGGAACGTATTGCAAGAGAGATCTGAAAAGGAGCTCATCGCATATTTGATTGCCAACATCCTCTATTTCAAGTACTCCCTTTGATGAAATACAACCATGCGCCATCCACATAAAGATCAACTCTTCTTTCGTAATTTGAGAATCCTTGGGAAAGACTGCACAATAAGCAAAACACTGCCTCAATGATAAAGGAAGATGATGATAACTCAACTTCAAGGCTGGCAGTATCGGAGTTTCTTCTTGAGGTAATTCCCATATTTCACTTTCTTTCACATAATTCCACTCTTTCTCTGTCCTCTTAAACCGCAACAGACCTCCGAGCGCCTTAGCAGCCAAAGGAACACCGGCACACTTGCTCACAATCTGCTTCCCAATGGCTTCCAGGTTTGGAAATTCCTGTTTCTCCTGTCCAAACGCTCGTTCACGCATCAACATCCAGCAATGCTCGTCCGACAACCCCTTTAAGTAATGTGGTGCAAGTGTTCCCATTATATCAGCAACCTTTTTGAGGCGTGTGGTGACGATAATCGAACTACCACCCCGGCCACTTGCCAAAACATTTCTTAATTCATACCACTTCTCCTGATCGTCGTTCCAAACATCGTCCAATACAAGCAAATACCTTTTGTTGTTGAGCAACTCCCATAGGACGCGCTGCAAAGCATCCAAGTGCACCAAGTCCGAAGCACTTCCACCCCCAGATTCAATCATGCCTTTCACCAAAGTCTTCTGATCAAAATCGTCAGACACACAAACCCAAATTAGTTTGTCGAAATGTTCAACGACCCGTGGATCGTTGTAGACTAATTGAGCAAGGGTAGTCTTGCCAAGGCCTCCAACACCAATTATGGGCAGGATGGTAATTTCTTGATTGTCGTTGACCTGGTTGACCAAGATGTCAACAATCTTCTCTGCATCTTCTTCCCTCCCATAAATGTAACGAGACTCGTTCAAAATGGAACCAGTCTCACGTGTGGCAGCAAACTCGTTTGGCCTCTCTACAGCAATCTCGCGCAAATGGAACTTCGAACGCTCTGCAGCAACCGCGTCCAGTTTCTCCGTGACTTGCTTCATCCTTCTTCCAATTTTGTGTCGGAAGAGAAGTTTCTTCAAGCTATAGCGACTGGATTTGCTGTTTCTGTGCTCCAATTTCGAGAGTTCCGTAGCACACTCATCCAAGATGTCATCAATCTCATACGTAAGATCTTTGAGCTTGAGTAGCCAATTCTGTATGGGTCTGCTTTGAAGTTGCTTCATCTCGGCATCTTCGAGCACAGATTGAATGGTGGTGAGTGTGCTGAACAGATTATTCATCTCTTCATCAACACCCATTATCATTCCAATCTCACCTTGTATCAGTAAGCTCAGATTTTCAAGAACTATTCCAAGGAAAGCTTCTGCCATTTCTGAACAACTTTTGATTAAAAGAAAAAACTTTTGCTAATTGTTTGGAATATGAAATGAAGGGGAATAATGCATGCAGTGCAGATCTTGGTTTGGTCAAAGAAGAAATTGCTACCAAATAAGAAATTTGAGTGTGGACCTCATAAGAAATTAATAATAATAATAATAATAATAATAATAATAATAATAATAATAATAATAATAATAATAATAATAATAATAATAATAATAATAATAATAATAATAATAAATTATATATGGGCATGCAGGTACTAACTACACATGCCAGGATTCCCGGTATCGTAAGCCGTGTGCGTATTGTATCGAGTACCCTTAAAAGAGTGTTACTATTTGCAGCGGGGCTTTTACTGAAATTGGCTTATTTGCAGCGGTACCTTTTTCATTTTAATTTTTTCAACTTTCAATTTATCTCTCCTATTCCCAAACACTCTCTAGAAATTCGAATTTCGTAAAAATTTTCGACATTCAAACCGTACAAACGAGGCTCGATTCCGGTAAGTTTTCGATTTCCTACTACTTTTAATTATTTTTATTTTCAATTTAGGTAAAAACACATGTTTAAAAACACCTACATTGTAATATTGACTGTGATCCTCAGAAGTTTTTGGTGTGTCTTGAGGAACATCGAAACACATGTTGGGATCCTCGTACTCATTGTATTGTTTGTCATATTCAGTTCTAAATTCATCGTCAAAATCACCATCAGGTACCCTATTAAGATATAACAAGTAATAATTAGTATATAAATAACAATAAAAAAAAATTAATTTGGGGTTCCCGTGCCGCAGAGCACGATCGTTCATGGTTTCCCGTCCTGCATGGCACGGGATCCACAAGTTTCCGTCCTCTGCGGCACGGGGACTTGATATTCCCGTGCTACACAGCACGAACTATACATTTAATTCTTCTTTTTTTTTGATGTTATCGTGTTGTACAGCACGGGAACCGCAATTTTTTTGGATTCCCGTGCTCCACAACACGATAGACCCGACGAAAAATTTCAACTTCCACTACTTTCTTCGATTTACCTCGTAAGACTCGTCAGAATCGGCCATATTGTTATTTGTTGTCGTCGGGCAGTCGATTTATCAAATAAACACGAAAATCTGAATTCTCGACTTTTTTTAGTTGAGAGCGTTTTGAGTTTTTCAAAAAGTTGAAAAAGTTGAAATGAAAAGGTATCGCTGCAAATAAGCCAATTTCAGTAAAAGTCCCGCTACAGTTAACATTTCAGTTAAACAAATCATTGCATACAGACTATATTTATGGGAAATAGTGAAATAAATTAAATATTTGGTGGAATAATTTGGTGAGTACAATTATGTGTTATTTTTTAATTGTTTAAATATTGTGATTTATAATTAATTGGACAGATTCAAAGTAATGCATATAATTAATAATGCAGTGCAGATCTTGGTATATCAAAATTCAAAGTAAATGTATTATATCAATGTTTTCAACTTTGGTGTGCGCCTCTTTAGTCAAAGAAGAAATTGCCACCAAATTTCTGTCGACATTTATTATTTTCTTATCTTCCACTAGTATATGTGCATGTGCTTCGTAGTACGTTAAAATGTATTTTATATTATTAGAAATAATCTTTTTTTTGTTTTAATAAATAATAATAGAAATAAGTTTGTCTACAGTTCTTTGTAAGTTTATTTTGCTATGTCCACACCAATCTCATGTCTACTCAGAGTGCAGGTCTCTCAAGACCTTAAGCCAAAACTTGCTATTACCAGTCTCTCCCCTGTGATCAGCAGCACTTTGCCTTTTCCCAGTATATCCTTCTCTTTTTTTTCTCTTAGGTATATGTTTTTATAAGCAAATTTCATGAATATATTTATAAATGTGACGTAAATACAAAGAAATGGAAAGGGCTTTTATCAATAAGATTTGAAGGCATAATTGGGTACATAAATTTTCTTGCTTTTCTTGAAATCAAAGAATGCATGGAACAGTAGATTTTAAGGTTGTTTTTCACAGCCCTATCATCACATCAAATGTACTGCATATACAGATATACTTACCATTTACCAAGTAATTAGTTTAACAACATTAAAAATCTCGTGTGTGTGTGTGTGTGTGTGTGTGTTTGTGTCGATTTGTTCGTCATTTGAATTGGATATGCTGTTCAATATGGGAGTAGCTGATAAATCCCACCTAACATGAACCAACATTGTTCTATTCTTTTAGGGAGTACACTGCGAAAAGTACTCCCATATAATCTCGAAATTGTAGAAAATCTCATGTGATAAATAAACTAGTAAAAAAAAAACCTGTGAATTTTGTTAAATAACACATTTCAGTATAATCACCTAACAGGCTAACACTATCCTGGAAACCAACTCCCACTTAGAAAAATACATTTTTTTTATAACTAGAAAGGTGGACGTGCGCAGTGGCGAATCCAGGATTTTTGCCAAGGGTGTTCGGAATTAAATATAGTAAAAAAGGTAAAAGTTTACGGGGGTTCGGGGGCAGTGCCCCCGATTTTTTTTTTTAATACTATACACATTAAATAATAAAAATATGTAATATTTTCAAATTTAAAGGGATTATTTTACAAATTTTGGGCTAATTTAGGAAATATATAGACATAAAATTGGTGAAAATATTTAAGGAGTGGTAAGCATATTAAAGTTGCAAGTGACAAAATGTGTATTTCATTAGCAGATTTTGAGTACTTTTTAAAATATAAAAGAACTAGTATCTCACCCGTGCGATGCACGGGAGGGATCAAATTTTAGATCAAAAGAAATTATTCTAAAAAATCACCGAACTAAAAGAAGGTCGAGGATTTAAGTCGAATACGACCGAACAAAAAATAACAATTTCGTATTTTATATCATCACCAAAAAGTCTACATAAATATAAAATGGCAATCTTGTACAAACCATCCACGCCGAAATGCCACAACCATCTCCAAGTGGGGAATCGAATGAATGGACCACTCTTGTACATTAATCTAAATGTTGGTACAATATAACATGAAGCTACGGTCACGAACAATGAAAATACATTTAAATAAAATAATATAGTAAAAACTTTAATAAATTGATATATAATATGATATAATCCAAAACAAAAAAAATATCCATTCCATCTGATTTAAATACAAAACTTAAACAATAATAATAATAAAATAAAATATAAACTAAATACTTGTGATATAAAATATACAATACCTCATCTGACCCAAATCGTAAAACTATCTCGCCCAATGCACTCGAATCTTTAACATGAAATTTAATTATCAAAGTGATATTTTATACATGTATTGAAATCGTTTACAACTCATCTAATACCTTGTGAGTAATTAAGCTACACATTTTGCATTGTTCATATTCTCTCAGTCGTACACATTACTGAATAATAAATCACCTAAAAATGTAAAATAAATAGAATTTATATAAAATTACCTAGATTAAAAAAAAAATCATTAGAGCGGCATTAATGTACATTAGAGATGAAATTTTTTGTTATAAAATCACAAAAAATTGTGCTATACCTTCATAATCACTTATAAACCCTCCTGGTAGACAAAATTGTTAATAACATTATTCGCCTGATTCCAACTTGATAAATTTCTTTATGCTACCCATACTCTATTATCTGCATTACGATATATAATTGTCCATGCAACTTGTAATACTAATGTTGATATTAATATTAATACTAATACTAATACTAATATTATTACTAATTAATACTAATCCTAATACTAATACTAATACTAATACTAATTATACTAATATTAATATTAATACCAATATTAATACCAATACTAATACTAATACTAATACTAATACTAATACTAATACTAATACTAATACTAATACTAATACTAATACTAATACTAATACTAATACTAATACTAATACTAATACTAATACTAATACTAATACTAATACTAATACTAATACTAATACTAATACTAATACAAATGCTAATGCTAATACTAATGCTAATACTAATACTAATACTAATAGTATATTAATAACGATAATAGTGATACTGATATTGATACATATTATATTCACTAATATTAATACTAATACTAATACTAATACTAATGTGAATACTGATACTAACACTAATCGTAATACTAATACTAATACTAATATTGATACTAATGTTCATGCTAATGCTAATGATAATGATGAAAATAGTGCTAATGCTGATACCGATACCGTTACCGATACCGATACCGATATCGGTACCGATACTAATACTGATACTGATATTAATCCTTATATTCGTACTCAAAATAATACTTATAATCATACTCATACTTTATTATTAAACAAACCAAAATACTTACGGACTACCATAAAGTGTGCATGTAGTACATGTAAATGGTAGAAAATATAAGATTTCAAAATTCAAAAATTTCAATTGGGCGGCAATAGCAAATCGATTTTCCTAAAAGCATAAACTCTGAATGGAAGGAGTATAAATTTTACCTAAAAATATATATTGTTATATAATTGGACATAAATGATTCAAATGTATGTCTCAGTTAAAATTTTATTAACGTAAATATTTAAATTAAAAAAATAATACAAAAAAAAAGACATTAAAAATTACGTTTCTCGGAACATTAAATTAAATTAGATAATATTTTTTGAATTTATAAAATATAAAATTCATAAAAGAATATGTATATACAAAAGTTAAGTAGGAAACAATTTAATTATACAAAAATAAAAGCTGACAAATAATCAATTGACGAAAATGCATAAGCAATTTAGTTCAACTAAGCGATTTCAAAGTTTGACATAAGCATCTTGACACATGTCATTCGTTAAGGCAATAATTTTTTTAAAATATTTTATATAGATTAGTATAAAATAAATCATGCCTATTGTCCTTTTTGGTTATATGCAAATTAAATTTCTCGAACGTAGCATTGTATTGCAATTCATTATTTATTATGCCTACAATAATTTTATAATAAAATATCATTTATCAAAAAAGTTATAATATTTAAAATCTCAATTAATCTAATTTCCTTTCTTATAATATGAATATAACACGCTATTTTATATTTAGCATTTCTTTCACTTTTATGAGAAGAGTAATACAAAAGGTATTGATTGTTGTTTGATGATGTCACATGCTTATTTGAAAAATTAGCTTATTAAATAAACTCATGCGGTTTTTATTTATACCAAAACACATTATGCTATTCGGATCATGAAGGCAAGATTAAAACACTTCTAATTATAATCAATGATTTTTTTTTTTTTTTGCGTATTTATATAATTTATCAAGTCAACTAATTAAAACTTGATATTCATAAGTTCAAATAAATATATAAGATTGAGAGGACATATTAAAATAATTTCACGAGCTAAACAGCTCAGAAT